TTTCTGTCTTGAACACGTATGACTGAATTAATAAGAGAAAGAGATTATTTTCATGATAAAAACTTCTAAATACCAAACTCTGATACACAGAGATGGGTTTTTAGAGGTTTAGTTAATGACCAGAGAGGGACTTTAACCTCTGGTATCCTGTCAGCAGGGGGAGGCTGCTCTGCAAACAGCTGAGACTCAGATACAGACGGCTTTATGCTCGAGCACATATTTTACATTTTTAGAAAACTGATGACTTTGAAAACACATCAGCGTTGTCCTACCTGCACAGGGTTCATCTCAACTTTACCACAGCACAGTTCTCCCTGAGGTAAAGTGTTGAACACATGCTTTTTAACAATCACAACTGTCATGAATCATGTCCAACACACCATCTCTGTAAACACAGTATTTTCCTTGGATATTAGTCATTTAAATGGGGCGTGCTGCATCGCTGCTCTGCCTGACAGTAAAGAATGAAAAGTAAATTACAGAAATCCTCTGGGGCAAAGCGTTCAACAAGTGTTTCCCCTTTAGGGAGTCTTTTCATTAACAATGTAAAAATTGACAGCTGCCTCCTCCCACTGCTAATCTTACTGCACCTGTTTACTCCTAAATATGCAAGTCAGACACTTTAGAGTCCTGCGTTATTGCTGGAGGTCCCTCCTGACTGCGCACACAGGAGGCAGACAATTATTGTAGTCTTTGTCCCTTTTTAATTCTTATGCGTAAACATCAGCACACAGCCAAATGTGTTGTTTTAGAATATGTTTCTTTACATGCTGAATAATTTAACCCTGTTAAGCCTAAATTCTGTCCCCTGATAAGTAGCCTGGACTATGTAATATGCATTCACGAAACAAAAAAAGGCCCCACAACAGCCACTGAGACTTTCCATCAGTCTGCTTCTGTATTACCTCGGCCCACTCAGCATCACAGTATCTCTGACCACAAAAAAGAAAGCAGATATTACACAATCCTAACCCTGTTCAGGACTTTTGGGGTCTTTTGGACCCCAGGCCATTTGGTTTAGGTGACAGGTATTGTTTTTTTACATTTATTTTTGAAGATTCTTTTTTAAATATAAAAACATTTGTCATGCATTTGGAACCAAAAATACGTCAACTTATCAGAAAACTGATTTAACACAGTATAAAATAATATAATGAATACCAACAAATATTTTGCATATTTTCTTTCTTGGGATCCAATGGACCCCCAAAGACCTTCTGGCAACATCAAAGTCCTGAATAGGGTTAAACCAGATAAATGCCTTTAGAACAATAACTTAAGACGCATATACATAGATATAAACATGTCATTATTGTTGTAAGAGTAAAAAAAGGCCAGTCAAAAGTGACGCCACATCTGATGCTACATTAGATTCTAGTTCTGCTCTTTGATTAATCGTAATAAGAAGCAGTTTTACCCAGAAGAAGCTCTGCAGCAGATCTGCATCCTCCCTCGTCTCCCCTCAACGCTTTGTGTGTTCTGTGTCTCTTATGTTCAACTTATGAGCAACAGGCTTCGGAACGCTGCTGCATAAATC